TGACACTGGGCAAGTTCTGCTCAACCTTTCTCTTTATTTTCAAATATTAAGCAGAAAGGTAGAAAAATAGAACTCCATGTGGAGTAGGTGCAGAATATTTAACCCTATCCTGACTATTTATCTTAGCCTAACTCTACCCCAGCCTAAATCAGCCCTTGGGAAAGCACTATGTTAAAATCTAACCCCCTGTGAGTCTAAGGCCATACTAAGCCCTAACAGTACCCCAGTCTAAACCAACCCTTGGAACTGTAATAAGGGAAACTCTAACACTATACTTAATCTAGTCCTATCCTACTGTAACTCTAGCCCAGCCTAAACCAACCCTTGGAAATGTAATAAGGGAAACTCTAACACTATACTTAATCTAGGCCTATCCTACTGTAACTCTAGCCCAGCCTAAAGCAGCAAGTGGAAAGCTGCAGCTGCCTATTCCAGGAGCAGGAAGGTGCCTGGGCGGCCCTGCTGCAGTGCCAAGAGCAGCACAGCGCAGAGCTGCACCTGGCAGGGGCCGGTCAGCAGGAGCATGCAGGAGCTGGAGGAGGGCAGCACCTGGAGCTGCCAGTCGTGCCACTGAGGCAAACGCTCCCAAGCTGATTCCACCAAACTCTGCACCCAGCCAGTGATTTTCTTCCCCTCCAAGTAGGAGTCTGTGCAGAGGGTGTGCACCAGGGGCGAGGGTTGATTGTTGTGCGTGGGGTGGACAAAGCACAAGGTGTCCCCCGTCATCCTGGAGCACGAGCACTCCAGCAGCACACGGATGTGGCAGCACCTCTCTGGCACATCCATCCCGTCCTCGGGCAGCTGCAGGCGGAAAGAGTGCCTGGGGGGTGGCCTCAGGAAGACAAGCAGCTGGTAGAGGATGCAGTGCCCCAGGTCACTCCAGGACTCGAGGGGGCCCTGCTTGCCAGTGGCCGGGTGCAGCTCTGGCATGAAGGTGTTCTGGGAGAGCACTTGGCACACCTCCAGGAGGTCCCGCACAAGCTTCTTCAGGCTCCGGCCCATGTAGGGCAGTTCCTGCAGTGGTGACAGGCTGAGCTCTGCAAAAGGCCTGACAGTACCTGCTGCTCTGCTCAGCTCATCTTCCTCCTCTCCTCTGGAGCGGTCCTGCTCCCAGCGAGAGGCCTTCTCCCTTTGCCAGGCCAGCCAGCAGAGCACAGCTGCTGCAGCCACCCAGAAGAGCCAGTGCTGCAAGATCCAAAGCAGTGGAACTTCTAGCAGGGCCCTCCTCCACTCGATGTCCTCCCACAGCTCGGTCATCTTCTCCTCTAGAAAAATCTGCCGTTCCTTCATCCGCTGGACAGTGACTGCATCGCTCTGGCCATCCTGCGTGGGCTCGGGCAGGACGGCCAGCACAGCCAGGAGGAGCACAGTTGCTGAATCCATGGCCTGCAGGAGATGGGAGACAAGTTTCTTGGGGCACTTGCCAACAAGAGAGCCCTGAGCACCAGTGCCAGGCCCCAGGGGCACAACTTGGCACTGCTGGGAGGGACTCAGCTTTCGCTCAGGGCTACAAACCCCCCTGGGCATCTTCCCCATGGCCCATCCATCCCAGCCTTCCCCCTGCACGTGCACTCACTGATCACCCAAGTCCAACTGCCTTGGGGCTGCCTGCTGTTGTACCTGGGGACAGCTCCCATTGTCACCTGTCCTCTGTGATGTCACAGCCACCAGAGATACATCACGCAGCCAACAAGCCTGAAACGAGAGCAAGGCTTAAAAGAGTTAACTGAGATCTCACTGCCCTAAGCTCCCCACAGACTCTGCCTATTATCAATATGCATGATTAGGTGTTGTAATCATATGAATATGGCACAACTTTCTCCGCCTGGCTGCAGAATCCATGGGAGCTCGGGAGCCCCTGGGAGCGCCCCGGGTAAAATTTACTCAGAGGGGCTCCCGTCCTGGATGGCTCACTGCGGGGCTGGACAAGGACTCACTGCCTCTTGATTACAAGTTTTTATATTTGGTTTAGTCTGCTTTGGGTTTGGGGTTCCCATAAGACGAGGACATGACACCGTCTTGCTGGGAGTAACGGACAAGGACGCTTTTTCTGGGGTGCAAGCCCTGAGAGTTGGTATGTTCCAGATTTGTTTGTATTTGGCCAAATATTGTTTGTTTTGAGGGAAACAAGGTATCTACGTTTGCTTTTGGTTGTTCTTTTGTTTATGGGATTAGTTCCCTTAAATTTATAACCACCCTATGAATTGGGATTTGGGGCGCTGCTGTTGCGTTACTCCTGCAGTGCAGCAGCTGTCATAGTACTTTGTTATATGTTGCTTTGCTAATTTTGTGTTGTCTTGTTTTGTGCTGGAAACAAAATTGAACTTGGGAGGTTTTGTTTGTTGTGAACCAGTCCTAGAAACATCTTGCTAAGGAGTTTTTATGGGAGAGGGATCTGAGAAATTGAGTGTGAAAACCCCACACAGCCCAAGATTAGAATTTGTCCATTTTGTAACTGTTCATTAGATGTTCCTGCTTTATTTAAGAGTTGCAAAAGATATTCTTGGCCCCCGTGGTGCACAGGAAATACGCCTAGAGTGTGTATTCTGTGGTCAGCAGTGGCATCTCATGGATTGGTGCAGATATTCAGGTTTAGTGTGAAGGCCAAATATTTGGTGGTCTTAGGGCGACATCTCGTGGATTTGTGCGATAGTACAGATTGGTTGTGCGTCGTGGATTTAGATCGAGAAGTTATTTGAATTTGAAGAGTAGATATTATTTGGCAATATAATAGTTGTGATTGTTAGTGTATTACAGATTTAATCGTTTATCTTCATAATGGGAGTCAAAATGAGTAAAAAAATAAATGCTTAAACTCTGTGGGGTGTCTATTAAAACACTGGAGAGATCTGGGAGGAATTCCCAGAGAACCAAAGTAAAAAGACCTTTTTAAAATATTGCCAGAGTTGGTGGCCGCTGTATATATTAGATGATGGTGACAAATGGCCACAGCAAGGAAGTCTTAATTACAACACAATTTTACGGCTTTTGTTGTTCCTTTGCAGGGAGCTGAAGTGGGATGAGGTGATGTGTGCAGACATGTTTTTCACTTTAAGGAATAAACCTGAGTGGCAGAAAAGTTGTGGTATTAATACAGCCCCCCAAGACCCTCTTGTTTTGGCACTGGAGAGGAGTCAGAAGAATAGCAGGCCGAGGAAGCGTTGTTGTGATGCGTGCAGCACAGGTCAGGGGGTCTCAAGCTGGGAAAGAGAGAGTGATGAGGAAAGTATCCCAGAGCCTCCCGAACTGCAGCCTCATTGTAGAGCACCAGAGCCAGCTGGGCAGGGACCTGGCAGCCTGCAGGAGTCGGGACGGGATGGGACAGATTCTGAAAGCACAGCAGGGAGCGTGGAACACCCAGAAGAGGGGTGAGCAGCACACATCGGGGTCTGACCATGGGACAGAACGCCAAGAGCAAGCCTGGGGGTAGAACAAAAGCTAAAACTGAGACTGGCCACACAGTTGCTCCTCTGAGGCAGGCAATGACACCTGCAGGTAATTGGGCAAAAGGGAAAGGACCTTTTTCAGTGAGTGATTTGAACAGCTGGAGGGAGGAAGCAAAACTATTTAGAGAAAATCCTGAGAAGGTGGCTAAGAGATTTGAATTAATTGTGAAAAACCAGGACATTGATTGGTCAGACATACATTGGATACTCTCAGAACTGAGAGAAACAGAAAAAGAGCTTGTAATAAAAACAGCAAAAAATCATGTGGAAGGATAGATTGCAACAAATGTTTTAGGGGGAGACATAAATGAAATTTTTCCAGTCTGAAAACCTAACTGGGCCCCAAATAATAACCCTGACCATTCTAAGGTATTGGATCGGTATAGAAGATTGGTCCAGGGGGGATTGTGAAGCCCTACACCCAAAGCAGCGAATTGGGCTGCCTTGTATGATGTAAGGCAAGGATGGGACAAGACCCCCACGGCATTTTAGACAGAGCTGCCATGAGAAAACACTGCCCTGGATCCGTCATCAGAGACAGGGAGACAACAACTGGTGGGGTTGTTAATGGGACAAAGTAACCCTGACATAAGAAAAAGGTTCTAGAAAATTGATCATCCTTCTAATAAAGGTGGTAATGAATGAAACCTGGAAAGTGTACAACAACAGGGAGAAAAGAGAGAAAACTTGCAAGGGTTGTGATTGCTGCTCTAACTCAGAATTCAAATCTTAGGGGTCATGGCAGAGGACAGGCAGTACGAGGTAGACGGGGCTCACCTTTCCAACAAGCAAGAGTGGGACAAAATCAATGTGCCTATTGCATGCAGGAGGGACACTGGAAGAGAGATTGTCCTAAATTGGCAAATAATAGAAACTCAGGAGGGGCTGTCATAGCTCACCAAGATGCTGAATGAAGGGGAATGGCTGGTTCATCCCTAGAAGACCCACTGGTTAAAACTGAGCTGGGGGAAGAAGAGGAAAAATTGGACTTTTTAATGGACGCCTTTTTCTGTCTACCCCTATCTCAGGAAAGCAAGAAGATTTTGCTTTCCAGTGGGAATTTGTTAGTAGTGGAAGAAAAATGAAAATAACTTGGATGGGTTTACCTCAGGGATTCAAAAATAGTCCAGCTTTGTTCAGTAATCAATTAACCAAGGAGCTGGAGCAATGGTAGCAGCCATTGGGACATGGTGTTCTTCTACAATATGTGGATGATCTCCTAATAGCACTGAAACAAAAGAAAATTGCATTCAGGAGACAATATATCTCTTAAATTTCTTGGGTTTAAGTGGTTATCGAGTCTCCCAACAGAAAGCTCAGCTGGTCCAGCAGAAAGTCACGAACCTGGGATATGAAGTGTCAGGAGGACAACGATCCCTGCGGATGGTGAGAAAAGAAGCCATCTGCCAGACACCCAGACCAGAAATGGGGAGAGACCTTCAAGCCTTTCTGGGAATGACAGGTTGGCGTCGTTTATGGATATACCAGTAAGCACTAATTGCATAGCCTTTATATGACCTGCAGAAAATAACCAGGAGTAACATAGTCTGGACCCCTGAGGCAAGTGAAGCCTTCCAACAGCTGAAGTGGGAGCTCAGGAGGGCTCTGGCACTGGGTTTGCCTGATGTGATGAAGCCCTTTTTGTTGTTCTCCCATGAGCGTCAAGGATTGGCTTTAGGGGTCACGGCCCAGCAATTCGGGCCAAACAGGAAGGCCCTGGCTACTTATCATAGAATCATAGAATCATAGAATCATAGAATAGATTGGGTTGGAAAAGACCTCCAAGATCATCAAGTCCAACCCCTGATCCAACTCCAATTACTATATCATGGCACTAAGGGCCACGTCCAATCTCTTTTTAAAAACCTCCAGGCATGGTGAATCCACCACCTCTCTGGGTAGGCCGTTCCAATGCCTGATTACCCTCTCTGTAAAGAATTTCTTCCTAACATCTAACCTAAACCTCCCCTGGCAGAGCTTGAGCCCATGTCCCCTTGTCCTATTGTTGGTTGCCTGGGAGAAGAGACCAACCCCCACCTGGCTATAACCTCCCTTCAGGTAGT